ACCGAGCTTTCTCTCTGTAATTTGTGATGAAATTTAGAATCAGAGCCCTTTAAGAAATTGATATTAACATTACCTGTGTTTGGCGGCTGTGGAGGAGAGCCAAAACTAAGCCCTGTTTCCAGGGTGAGAATATTATAGTCCAAGCTCATAATTACGAAATTGCTGTCTTCACAATTGCTAACGACAGCGCCATGCGTACCGCCAAAACGCGATGAGTCATAGCCTTGGCTCTGCAGCAGTTTCGAAACACAAGCATCGCCTCGCGATTAATCTGCGTTTTCGAAATCACTCTCTCGTTCGGGTTAGGCCAGACTGCGCGACATACGCTCCTTTGATGAAATATATGTAGCGTAAGCTGCGTACGTCACGTACGCCCGTACGCCGCGCACTCGGGCTCAACCCTTCAGCATGCTATATGCGCATTTACTTTGGATCATACTGTCTGGAACAAGCGTGTATAGTCGTCCCTCCTCCAGTAGACTAGTGGACGAAATAATCTTAACTAGAGCATGCCGGTTGCAGCACCGTCAAATCCGTTTCATGCTTAAGCAGTATTTTCTTTGTATTTTGTAGTCGTTGCATGGTGTGACGAATTGGTTTTTGCTTACTGATGTTTCATACTATATGCTCGTTTCTTTGGCTCTATTTTCACGTAAAATTGGGAAAATGATGCATGGGGAGTTGAAGTTTTTGACATGAAGTTTAATGAAACATACATCAAGACATTACTTTACCGCAGAAAATTATTAGCAAACTTTTCAAATTAGTCGTTTCTCCAAGCTTAGCCTAAAAAAGAGTTGAAGAAACGAGCATAGTGCACAAAATATCGCTAAAAAGCCTCGGAAATATCGCTATAGCCATCGCCAAAAGCTTCATTCCCAATCAAGAAGACTGTTCTTGACTCTGACCCGGACTTTTCATGTGCATGCTATAGTTGGAACCAAATATTTTTCGAATATTTGTATTCGAATGATTTATTCGAACTAGAGAAGTCGAATATTTAGAAAAGTGCATTTATTTGATTATTCGAGTAGTCGAATAAATGAAATAGACTTTTGTCCGAATATTTGTTATTGGACGAATCGTAAAAACAAATTATTCGAAATTTATTCGAATATTTGAATAGTCGAATAAATTTTCGAATAAGTTGTTTTCTCGATTCGTCGTATAAACAAATATTTGAACAAAAGTCTCTTTCAGTAATTCGACTACTCGAATAATCAAATAAATGCGCTTCTCTGAATACTCGACTTCTCTAGTTCGAATAAATCATTCGAATACAAATATTCGAAAGACATTCGGTTCTAACTATGAGCCGTGCCTAGTCAAAGGGTTCCTTCATACTACGCCGCGCACGCCGCGTACGCCGCTGCAGCGCAATGGAAAAATGCTCACGGCAGCAGAGCTCCACTTTTTTGATGTATCTCTATAATTGCTTATCATTACGAGCGTCATTTCATCATTTGCTGGTACAGTTTTGACCCCAGATACGTTAACATTGTGAACTGTGAAGTCAGCGCCAAAACTTGAATGGTGTTTTGTGAGCGAAGAAAACAAACTGCGGCAACAATGGCGCATCAAATTTGCAATTGCAGTCTAACAGTATGAAGAAGAGAAATCCTTTTCATCCAGTGATGTGTTTGTAAGGAGATGTTAACAGCGCAATATACAACCAGATACAACATGCAACCATACAACCATATACACCAATATACTACCAGATGACGCAATGTGCAGTCAGTTACAATACAAAATGTGAAACTCGAAAGTAGAGGGAGCACAACAACCTAAGTCATTCCATCAATCATTGATATAAACAAAGGATAGAAGGATAAACAAAGCAAAAGAGAGGAAGAAATGCATAATGTGAAGGAACACTATTGAGGGACACGAATGTGCAGCAAATATAGAGATACATCAAAAAAAAGTCTGCTGCCGTGAGCATATTTCCATTGCGCTGCAGCGGCGTAGTATGAGGGAACCCAAAGGCTCCCTCTCTGTCAGTTCCCATAAACGAAATTCAGGTGCGCAAATTTCATAGATAACACCTGTGATTTGAAACCTCGTTTGGCCTTTGGAAGACGCTGTGTTTTCCCCTTTTATAATTCATGCATGTCTAGCGTGCGCCTGTAAGTGGAAACGTTGTTGTTTCAATTCAGTAATTATTTACAACGGTTCGTTTCGGCGCTCGCTATCGCTGCCTGTATACTTGGGTAAATTCGAAATTTTTCATCGAATGAATGATCGAATAAATTCGAAAGTGTAAAATTTCAATAAACGAATATCGAATAATTCGAAAGTGGAAAATTTCGAATGAAAGAATATCGAATAAATTTGAGATTTGAAAGTTCTCGAATGAGTGAATTCCAAATATACAGTCTGCTTCAATCGGGATCAGGCCGAACCGTCGGCGTAAATTTGCGCGCTCCCAGCGCTAGCGGTCTGCGCTGCCTATGCGCGCTGTCGGAGAGAGCAAAACGATTGGAGAGAGAGCAGAGAAGCAGGCCGTGGGCGTGACCGCGAAACCCTTGAGACGCGGACTCCCGCCATGCCAATTTTGGCCTGGTTAGGATTGGGGCAGACTGTACTCGGAAAATCAGGAATAGCGAATGAAAGAATATCGATTATATTCGAACATTTGGAGTCGAATTTCGAATAAATATTCGAATTAGAGCAACCAAATCTAAAACTTGCTGACATATTCGGCTAAAGTCGATCCATTCATAATCAGCACCTTCGGATTTTCCAAAAATCGCCCAGCCTCGTAGCACAAGATTTTCCAAAAAACGATAAAGGCAACAAAGTAAGCTTATTCATAATCAACACCCTCATTTACCCCTGTACTAACTCCCAGCCTCGTAGCTCAACATTTTACAAAGATCGATAAAGGCAACAAAGTAAATGTTTATTCATAATCAGCACCTTCATTTATCCCTGTACCAACTCCCACTCCGTAGCTAGCATCTTGCAACTGGCAAATCGCGTACGGCTGTTGCATGAAGTATGTGCGCGGCCTATCATAATCAAAGCTCGCATCTCAATGTGGACCTTTTTCGTCCGGCTTTAGCCTTTTTTTACCATACTTGATAGGCTGATAGCTCCCGGTGTTAAAGTGCCTGCAAGCTTCCGTGAAAATCTTGGATGCACTGTGATAACAGAACTATTTGTACTAAACAAAACTTTATTGCAAAATGATATGACTGCAAATTTCAGCAGCCGTCTTATCCTCCATTACAGCTGCAATGTCCTTTACTCAAAACACACCGATTCGCGAAATTCTCTAAGGTAAAGGATAGAGGCAGTTGTGCAGTATGAGTTCTATAAGCAAGAGTGCTTACTGGTTTGGACTTTTGCGTACCTAAAGCATGAGCAATGCAAAGAAAGACAGGCATGTCAACACATTTTCAGTATATGAACTCGGAACATGAGCTTGGACTTGATAGCTGTTATTTTGCTGATTTTGTGCCGGTAGCAGTGCGAACTATCTCATTGATCGAAAAAGCATCAATTGAAATCCACTTCTTTTTTATTGTCGGAATGCGACTTTTCATACAGTTCAAAGGTCATCACGATTGCAAAAAGATGCATTACCGAGTTTTGCGGAAAAAATCGCAGACGAAGCGAGCTTGATACTCAGCAGTTGGGTCTGCAACAAACTCGAATAATCTGAGTACGGAGTTCATGCGAATGTGAATTCGAATAAACATTACAATAAAACATTCGAATAAGACCTATGCGGAACTTCGTTTTTTTAATCATTCAAGTTTTCGAATTTTATTCGATTCTTCGTTTGTTGATTATCCGAGTTTCGAGTATTATTCGAAAATGGAAAAACTCCAAATATCGAATTTCGAATGCGAGTATATTTGAATGTTCTATTCAAATGATCGAATTTCTATTTGATTCGGACCCAAGTATACTGCCTATCCCACTTCCTTAGTGTTTTCAGAAGAATTACGTCAAAGTATATGAAATATACATGAATGGCTTAGCATTCTTGCCACTAAATATACTGAATTACCCCAATTCGTATATTGCTCTCGTCTGTAGCGCGTAAGCCGGCCGACTTCCCATAGGTCCTACGCGGCCCATATATAACGCAAGGAGCAATCAGACTGGTTTGTAGCGTTCTGTTTAGATATTTTCAGCTCGTAAAAGTTGGTAAGAAAGCAGCAGTTTGAAAAAACAACGAAACAAAAAAAAAACACTTGCCGCCAGGTTGAATGACGCTTTGGCAGGGTGTGATAGGGGCGCATATCTGTTTATGCGTTCATTTATACTATTTTTGGCTAAAAAAGGGGAGAACAACGGTTTGGTTCACTCTCTTCGGTATATGATAGATCAGGCGTTCCATTCGTCCAAATCAAAAGGGCCAAAACTTATGTAAACTCTTCATTATTTATGCTCCGAACCAACCCATTTGGTCTGGTGATGGTCTAAAAACCAACGAGTTACGGAGCGGTCATTAGGACATAAATTTTCAAAACTTTCTGCATAATGTAGACTGGAGTAAGATTGTATATCCATAGCCCAAGTTCGGTATTATATGATTGCTTTGCGCTGTAAACAAGTCGTTTGTTTATTTACGCACTATTTTGAAAATGGCGCGCTTGATGAAGAAAGTCACACTGGAGCATGTCATTCATGTATCAACTTGTTGCTTAGTATATCTGAGGTCACTTCTATGTATGTTTAGCTGGTTTTACGATACCGCTTTTGCTTTTACCCAAGGAATGAAGTGCAGTTTGACCCAAAACCATCTGCGCCGGGCCTTGGCTCGCTATAATGGCTGACGAAGACTACAGTGTCATATTTATAATGTTCATGGCTTACTGGTTTGGTCTTGAAATGAATACGTGTTCAAACACGGTGACGGTATGTAGATGTAGGTAGGGCTTACATACACCTGTGGATTAACAATGCGCGGCAAACACCTGTTACTTTTGCAATCATTTGCTCCGAGCTCAGAATATATCAAAGTGAACATTTATTAATAATATAATTACTCAAGGCAAGCTAATCCCAACTTTCATTGAAACCGTATAGAACAACAAGCACATAGCAGTGTGAAAACAGCAAGCACATAGTGCTCAAAAGACATCAGTTATCGTACATACCCATCCCTGTGAAAGTCATTAGTGATATAGACAAAGTCTCAGGGGCTACAAATTAGACACATTATACTTATGCCGTATACCGTGTGTGTATGGACTGAGATCACCGACATAGTACTCCTGTACTGTTTCATCCAATCCACATGGGCGAGTGAATTCCTGACCTCGCTCGTGAATCCACTTATTCGACACCTACAAATGTTGCATGGACACCTTAGTTCAAAAAAATCTCTGCTTTCTTACCCATTTTACTCCAAGCAGTACTGGACAGGCTGCATGTCGAGTTCGAAGATCTCCTTCGCCGCTCCTCATTAGGTTGTACCAGAATAACGCATCACTCTTTGAAGGAAATACGGCGGTACCAAGATGATTGAAGACCGTAGCTCCTCCACGCTCAGGCTTCGTCATCTACAAGCATGATTTTTGTAGAGATTCAACATAGGAAACGACTTGCAACTGCAGTGAACACTCCACTCTCAAATCAACCGGGACATCAAAGTTGAATAAATGTGAATTCATCTATCCGACCAAAAAAAGCCTTCTGAACAGATGCATGGTACCAAGGATGCTTTTGATGTGCAGGACAAAGTTGAGGCAGAGTTTCGAGTGTGTTTCATTTTTTGCGGTATGATATGAGCTCCCGCTTTGACAGTTTTTATCTGAGGACTTTATCTACTTACGCCTACAATTACGCCTCTTGCTCACAAAAACGAGGAAATAAGCCCACAGATGAGTTGCACCGAGGCCTCCACTTAGCCTTTTTTTGTATTAAGATTCGCTAATTAACTGTAGGATGAATTTGACCAGTGCTCATTCAATCTCTCCGGACCTGAACTTCCCCTGAGAAGATAATTTTCTCCCTTATAGCTAACTACCTCAAAGGCATATGAAATCAACATCCATGGCAAGTCCTTGACCTTTCAGACCACCAACTAGAAAATTACAAATGGTAGTAAATCTTGCCAAGAGTCTATAGTGGAACGACAGATATTTCACTTTATGTATTTCCATTATTAACTTCTGCAAATTCTTTGTTCCATTGACAAAGGCAGTAGTGTGCTTACACAGATGGCGTTTGGAGTCTTGAATTTCTTACGAACAACTGAAATTTCTCCAGAATCTAAAATTTTAGTGCGCTTACAAAACTTTTTCTGCCAGAGCGCTCAGCTCCCTAATTCGTGAGACACCCTCAGAATTGTAACTTTTAGATTTCCTTCCGCACTAAAGATTGCTTCTCCTTTCCTCGAACCCTTCTCCTTCTCTCTCCACCCCCCCCCCCTCCTCAGTCGCTACACCTAGCTTGTCTCACTAGCGATTGAAAAATCAAGCTTACATACATAAAACAGCACAGTAGCTAGCCTATTTCCGGTGTTGAGCGTCTTGAAAGCGTTAATCTCCTCCTTCTATAATACACAGAGTATAGATGAGATACTTACGTAGAATAGTACGGTAGCGATGCGGTTGCCATTCACTCGGTAGGGTTCCTTTTCGCCTCTCTAAAATGAGGCGTTGAAGGTTTTTAGGCTCTCCAATCATTTTCGGCTCTCGACCATACAAGGTGAGTTGTTAAAACACACATCGTTCAATAAAAAGTCGAGTTTCCATGTTAGTCACATTTTGACGATTGCGAGGGTGGAAATGAAAAAGAGATTAGAAACTGTGTGTGTGTGTGTGTGTGTGTGTGTGTGTGTGTGTGTGTGTGTGTGTGTGTGTGTGTGTGTGTGTGTGTGTGTGTGTGTGTGTGTGTGTGTGTGTGTGTGTGTGTGTGTGTGTGTGTGTGTGTGTGTGTGTGTGTGTGTGTGTGTGTGTGTGTGTGTGTGTGTGTGTGTGTGTGTGTGTGTGTGTGTGTGTGTGTGTGTGTGTGTGTGTGTGTGTGTGTGTGTGTGTGTGTGTGTGTGTGTGTGTGTGTGTGTGTGTGTGTGTGTGTGTGTGTGTGTGTGTGTGTGTGTGTGTGTGTGTGTGTGTGTGTGTGTGTGTGTGTGTGTGTGTGTGTGTGTGTGTGTGTGTGTGTGTGTGTGTGTGTGTGTGTGTGTGTGTGTGTGTGTGTGTGTGTGTGTGTGTGTGTGTGTGTGTGTGTGTGTGTGTGTGTGTGTGTGTGTGTGTGTGTGTGTGTGTGTGTGTGTGTGTGTGTGTGTGTGTGTGTGTGTGTGTGTGTGTGTGTGTGTGTGTGTGTGTGTGTGTGTGTGTGTGTGTGTGTGTGTGTGTGTGTGTGTGTGTGTGTGTGTGTGTGTGTGTGTGTGTGTGTGTGTGTGTGTGTGTGTGTGTGTGTGTGTGTGTGTGTGTGTGTGTGTGTGTGTGTGTGTGTGTGTGTGTGTGTGTGTGTGTGTGTGTGTGTGTGTGTGTGTGTGTGTGTGTGTGTGTGTGTGTGTGTGTGGATATACAGAACGAGATTATAACAAAGTTGTGGGAGCCGCTGCATATTGTCGCCGTCAATTCACGCGTCACTTAGTGCAGTTGCACAACATTTTAAGGTCTCGGATGTCAGCTCTAAGCACAACTCTTTTGAAGTCTTTTTGCTATAAGTTTTTGCTTCTGTGCTCTGAAAACCCGAATTTACGTCTTCCTTTCAAATTTGATTCGTTCGATGTCGTAGCTTTAGTTTTTCACTTTGCATTAAAATGTCAATTTGAGTGATTACTGTAGGTAAAATGTAGAAGGTCGAAATGGTCTGTGATTGGGTGGTCCGCTGTTGATCACGAAGCTTTTATGAGATGATGGTGGCTGTGGCAAAAGCAGTGGTGGGGGGGGGGGGAGAGAGAGATGAGTGAAAACTGTTCGTTGCGCATTTTTGAGAATGTCCTGGATAACAAAGTGCGTAAGCGAACTGCTTCTGCTTGTGAATAACTGTGATGTTGAAACTGAAGTATTCAAGTTAGCTCTACGAAAAAATTTTGCAGAATATTCGATTCAGATGTGCAACTGCAGCAGTGACTTTGATATTGACGGCAACTTATGTATCTATAATTAACACCCTACTAGCATGCACAACCACATCCTTACCGTCGACATGTCAAAATGAGGAGCATAATGACCACCAATGCCATAGTTGGCGATCTGCAAAAATAAGAACTTAGACTGACTCTTGCGAAATCAAAATGAGGATCGTAGTGCCCTCCAATGCCGTAGTTTTGTACCTGAATATAGTCACTCTACTTTTGTTACAAGTCCAAAGTAACGTTGCTTATAAGTAATCTCTACTAGAGCTCTACAAGAAATTTTTTCAACATTTGGATACCTGCAGATCTTCTGAGGTTTTCTGATTCAAGTTTGTCATATCCTCTATCCTCCTATTTATTCGGGCTACAACTTCGTGTTCTTCATCTTTCAACCATGCGCTGCAATCAAAGGCTTTGGAGGAAGTCCATGACAAATCGGGTTTTGTTAGTAACTAAAACACTTGGTAGACACACATACACACATTGAAAGGACATTAGTACTCGACTGTTACAAAAGTTCCGCATTTTTCGCAGGATTTAGCCAAAAATACTGAAAGATTTATCCTAAATTTGTGGCACTGAGACAGAAAGAACGCAAATGAGAGAAGCTAGAGATTACAATTTTTAGCAATTTTTTGAGTTAACCATTTTGACAGCGATGCTCCCACCCAGTGGTTCATATTATACTCAAAGTCATCAAAACTCACACTTTTAAATCTTAGCAAAGTAGGCCCTTTATATGCGCAAAAATTTTTGTGTGCAAATCAGGAATTGTCTTAGTGTTGCTTCTATGCATGTAAGTGTCTAAAATGTTTGCTACAAATGTGAAAGTTGAGTATCTATTTGGCAAACAGTGTGCTTGCTGCCCATCACACCTTTATTTTTCGACCGCTTTTGCTAATTGTTCCTACAAACTGCGAAGATTTTCATAATGAGAACCCCTCGGAAATCCATTTTGACAGAATGTGCTCCTGGGCTTGAACTCGTAAACGCGAAAATTTCCTTCAATAAAAACTATTAGTAAAGCAAGAAAAGCTTCTATTTGATATAATACAAACCGTTGTGCTGCATTGCAATTAAAACAGAAAATTTGTAACAGTGTAGGACACATTGTAAAGAACAATATGTACCTCTTACTAATACGATAGTCGGCTAGTTCCAGATCACCCGTTTTAGCATTCTGTACAGTAGCACGTTTTAGCTGAAAACTGACACTCTCATCGTGCATGGTAGAGGAAACACAAATAACGGCACGAAATAAAGAATCTCCAAGAATTCTGTTATCAAGTCAGCTGCTCACTTATGACAAATGGGAAATCCTTTGTAGAATGTTAGTTATAAAACAAAGCGGGTGGGGAGTTTAACAACGTGTTAAAGGCAATGCCTAGATAAGACCGGCTCCTGGACTTCTTACAGATACTGACTGGAGGGCCTTGACCGAATAAGACGCAACCGCACGTTAAAGTCAATATGCTTCACCTGCGGATCAGTTGTGCGCAGTACACCTAACACGACCCGATTCAATCTAACTCCTCATCAAGCCAACCCTAACGGTACTTTCGATTTACTAGAATTTTGAAGCATTGGGCAGTTTTCAAATCGAGTGGTTCTAAGTGGGTCTTGATTACGCAGTGTGTGTTACCCATTTTTGAAGGAATAGCGCTTAAAGGCAGCGTCCGGGCAAAAAGTCGATTTTGAGATTTTGTGCTTACCCGGGCCTATTCGCTATGCTGAATCCGAAAATCACCACTAGAGAGCGCGAAAACGGCGAAAAAGGGGTCTAACGCAGGAGGAAAATCAGCAGGGGGCGGAGCGTCCGAGAGGGTGGATTCTCGCTCCCAGCTTCCGGAGCAATCTTCTCGGCTCCTTTAGTCGCCCTAACATCGCTACCGGCCAAGTACAAACGAGTGATTTGAAATCGCGCTCTCTAGTGGTGGTTTTCGGATTCAGCATAGCGAATAGGCCCGGGTAAGCACAAAATCTCAAAATCGACTTTTTGCCCGGACGCTGCCTTTAAGGCGAGACCCTACCTATAAAAGTTGCTATGACTGACATGATACAGGCTGCCAAAAAATGTATCGAATGGTTGAATGGATAACTCTCTTGTGTGGGAAGCTTCTGCGGATATTCAAGAACCGTATTATAGAACTATTTTCAATTTACATTATTTCAATTTATTTCAACTTATTTTAATTTACTGTAAGATTAGCGGTACAAAAATTATTCTTCCCCTTCATTTTTAGGCACGATAAAAATTTGAAGAAAAATTTCCACTAGTACTGCCCCCGAAAAACTGTGCGAAAAAAACTGAAAATCATCACTGGGATAACGGCATTGATTTCGTATATAAGTTTTTCTCGATAGCGTAATCCCTGATTCAAAGGCTGGGACGAGCATACTGTGACAGAGGCTTTATAATTAACAAAAATTTGATAATATTGTTGAGTTGCTCTACAGATCATGCATGAAGTCATATAATAGAACCAGTGGAAGTAAAGACTCAACCACCAGAATTTTTAGACGTTTCAAAAAAATTTTGGAATGGCAGTCAGGTTCATTTTCCCTTGTGTGACTCAAGCGACGGCTCCATCATTTCTAGTCGAGCTAAATCTAAACTTCGGTCCAGATCTCACTTTCTCCGAGCAGACAAAACACTCTCCTTGAGTGCGGTAGTAAACAAGGTATGGACTCTACAGGGTGGCCGGTAAGTATGGGCGTTACAACGTCTATGTATCTTTTTCCTGAAATATTCTATCATAATGTGGTTAACCCACTGACGACGATGTGGACCACCGGTGGCCCACACTCCTTGCAAAATCATACACTTCCTAGGCCTAGTATTTTTTCGACAATCCAGTATTTTTTCCAGTTTTTTTCACCCTTGGAACCTGTAGACTTCTTTGTTCAACAATGTGATTGTAGCTGTTTACAAAACCACTTTACTTTTCGTAAATAATCACAAAACTTTCCCACGCTGCAAATATTGCGCAAAATCGCGTCGTCCCTCAGCGCCTCCACGCAAAATTGGGCGTCGTTAGCTTATGGACATCCTCTATATCAAGATGTACGAGTTTCGCGCCTACTGGTCTCTTCTAATGCAAACGGAACTCTGGAATCTGCTTCCACTTGAAAGGAGCTGCGGTGCGATCAGTCAGCATCATGTCACATACCGCATTTGATTTTTGAGAGAAGAAATTATTGCTGTTACGGCATTGTGTTATCATTCAGACTATGCTCTACAAAACCTCATGCCTTGAAAACTATTTGATTCGCAAAGGGATTATCGCCCGAGGCACGCAACGGGTACATTCTTCACGCAGCATTTTCTGATGCATTAGCTTCAGGATAAGCTGCTGAAGTTTGTATGCATGTGCAGAAGCACACTTTTGTAGAAATAACATATCAGGATACCTCTATTTTTAGCATGTAGCGATAATCCTACAAAATCTCGTCCTTCATTTAAAATTTTGCAATGAAAAATGTGATGCCCATACTATTCGCCACCCTATAGAGTTCACAGGATTTCTCCTCTTGGTCACTAAAGATCCATATAAGTTGCGCCTTGGGCAATAGCTTTGAAGGCCTTCCTATCATTATCCACATAAGAAATCCAAAGTCTCAGATCTACCTGGGCACTGCCTTTGAAAAAGTCACATCACACCTAAAACTACCTTTTAGAGATACGGTAATCAACAGTGACCAGAGAACCATCTCCGGCTTTAACGGTCGCACGTTCCAGCTCAAAACATTGCTTGTCCATAAAGATTACAGCTACAATCTAGAGTACCTTAGGGATGGCAGCTGTTTTGATCACTTCCATCTCCTCCTCCGACATGACTTCCTTGAAGAGCACGGCCAAAGGATCGAGACGCAAAATCTCGACTTTGATTGGAGCCAGGCGTAAGAAGGGCCTGTCCATCTGAAACACAAGTAACAGTGACTTGAAAGCCGCAGAGGACGAATACTGATTAGTGTCAATCTTACTTTCAGATAACAGTAGAGCAATTTTTCTTCAGATGGATCAACTTTCGGAGCTTCACCACGGCATAGAGCCTCATAAGCGTCTCGCTCGACAATACCATCGTTTTCAACTCGCTAAATTCTGAATACATCTCTCCCATTATTCGGATGTATTCAAACTCACCTTGTTAACAATAGGTGGGAGTTCTCCTTCCAAGTCTTTGCTTTCTAATCTATCCTCGTACCATTTCACGTTTCCTGAATTGGGCTTTTACAAAAGTTGTTAAAAAGGAAGAGAGGAGGAAACACCTTTTGCCCGCGGATGATTGGGTGCGAGAACGGCTAGCCTCTTTGTCAAAGCCAGTGCACGACGAATGTTACCTTGTTGATAAAGAGCATACGCTAGATACTCTAGAATTTCTGCTTCCTCGACTGTCTCTTCCTCTTCATTTTCCAGCTAAAATTAAGAACTCTTGTGGTTAGGACAAGGATGGAGAGTGGAACTATCAGTACGCTGGCAGATGGCTTCTACATTGTCTTGTTATTAGTGTAGACAAGTCTACTCAATTCAGAGTGTTTTTGATGATGGCAGATAAAACTAAGCGTAAACAAAAGTACGTTGCGCGGGTGCCTTAACATTTTCGGTTCCTTACTTTCATTTCTATAATACATGTCAATGGGAAGTAGAAAACAGGATGCTGGGATTTTTTTCATGCGAATCAAGGTTGTGGTTATAGTGCTGGTTTACATATCAAGGCGAAAAATAAAATGTAAATGGGGGATTCCCGAAAATAAGATTTGTGCACTATTTGATCATCACAATCTTTTTTGCCTACGTATTCCTCATGATTTCCTTGGTACTTATCAAGCTTCAGCGCAAATTTACGGCTCTTCATCACTAAAATCACGATAGAGATTTCCATCACCTTATCATTATGATATAGCTACCGCTAAAAAAATGGAGATGAACTTGAATCTGTACAGAATGTCCCAAAAAGTGTGCCTACTGCTTGATTGTTAATAACTCAGTTGTAATGAAGTTTTTCGAGAAGCCTTAGGTACCTTTTTGTAGAGCTGGCTTCAACTTAGATTTACTGTATAGAACGTCACTGATCGCTTTTCGTTACTGTAGGATTGCGGAAGAAACTTCAAGCATATGGTGACACTGTGAAGAAATGCCGTTTCAGAAATTTTCAAATGAGTTAGAATACTTGTATAAGAGGATTTTTGAAGACGCTGAATAATACTCAACTTTGCACAAGAAGTGAAGCTTTTTGCACGGTATAACCATAATTTTTAGGAGCATAAAAACGGTGCTTGCTACTATTTGACTACTCGCATAACTTTTTAATGATGCATTATGATAAGTTGCGAACTTCATATATAGAATCAGCAAACTCTACAGTCGAATTATTTCATATGATCATGGGTGTCATTGCACACACAGTCCAGCTTTGGCGTTCCCACCCTGGATTCTTGGAGGAAGCACCCCCTGTGTAAATGTTTTCAATGTGTTCTTAACACTTTCTTTCTTTTTAGGTACTAATCACCTCATATTGATGTAATGGATAACAATCGGTAAGACTCTTGCGTTTTTGCGATTGCAAATCAGGATGAGGACGTCAAAGGTAGACTGTGTGTGCATTGGCACACATGACCATATAAAATGATTCGACTGTAATCAGCCCATTGTGAGAGTTTTCAGGTTTTTCTTTCCTTTCTGAGGATAACATGGCCTTTCATGGCTCAAAACCCTCTTCAAAGTTCTTACCGTAATCCTACAGTAATGGAGAGCAGATCTGTGATAAGCTCCATAAGATAAGCCTAAGTTGAAGCCAGCTCTGCAAAATAATACCTAAGGCTTCTCGAAAGACTTCAATACGAAAGAGTTATTAACAATCAAATAATAGTGACATCTTTTTAACACCCTGTATAGCGGTGTTCATCCGCTCCATTAGTAATTGACGATGTGCTTCAAAAGCATAATCAGATTATCAAAAAATGCTATAAGTGCAAAACTAGGCGAATTTCTGATTGAGAATTAGATGTAGGATACGAACTTATGTAGTATCAACTGGAATGAGTTATTCGCAGCTTTTTTGCGAAAATTTTTAATGCGATTTTTCTTTCAGTGGTGTAAAACCCGTTTGGATCATACCGTAGTCCCACAACTGTGAATGAAAGTCAAAGCTAGCCCTTCATTGGTACTCCAACTACTGCGAAGGATTACGACGGGCAAGACCATCCTGTCATCAATTTTTGATTCCTTGTCCCATATGAAAGACTAGCTGGCTTACCCGGCTCCGCCGTATGTTCCGAATAGAAAATTCCATTTCTCAACCGATCCAGACCAAACTTGCCACACATACACTTCGGGCCCCGGCGGGTGTCACAGTCCACTTTTCGTTATCGATCGATGTCGATTTTATCAATTTTTTGCAAAATTTGGGCTAGGGGGCTGAAATTTGGCAGGGGGGGGGGGGGGTAATTGAGCATGCTGATTACGAATACAATATTAGTTTTCGAAACCGTGCATTACTTTTATCGATTTTATCGATTTTTTGCAAAATTTGAGCTAGGGGGATGGAATTTGGCAGAGGGGTGTAATCGAGCATGCTGATCACCCCCACGGGGGTGATCAACACGCTCGATTACCCCCCGTGCCAAATCTCAGCCCCCTAGCTATTTTGCAAAAAATCGATAAAATCGATAAAAGTAATGCGCGGTTTCGAAAACTAATATTGTATTCGTAATCAGCATGCTCACTTACCCCCCTGTGCCAACTCCCAGCCCCGTAGCTCAAATTTTGCAAAAAATCGATAAAATCGATATCGATCGATACGAAAAGTAGCCTATGACACCCGCCGGGGCCCGAAGTGTATGTGTGCCAAGTTTGGTCCGGATCGGTTCAGAAATGGAATTTTCTATTCGGAACATACGTACATACATACATACATACAGACAGACATACAGACAAACAGACATTCAGCTTTATATATAAGATATATACTACATCCACTCGAATGTTTGAGTCTCGCAAGCCGCTGAGGATGATTTTCAGAAAAATGACGGTGCTAAGCACTACCCGCCAAAGAAAAATGGATGGTGTCATAAGGCGAGGATTATGTCAATCATTATTGCTCGATTGGCATTCGAACATTCTAGAAGCAAGGTTACACGACTTCAGTTACTTGTAAATATAAGAGCAGATCAGCCGTCAATAAAGAACTGCTATTAATTTTGGAGTAACGCTCATAACCAATTTCCACAACTATAGGAGCCTTTGGTTACTTGTAAATATAAGAGCAGATCAGCCGTCAATAAAGAACTGCTAATAATTTTGGAGTATGCTCATAAAAAATTTCCACAACTATAGGAGCAGTTATAGCAGAAAACATGTAGATATCGTAGTCTGGAAAAATTCCAGTTGTGTGAACAACAGGTGAAAATATCTTGAGAACGAGTGTGTTTAATTTCAGCAAAAGTGTGAATTTTGGTGATCGCACCAGAGTGTAGCCAACGTTTCGACAATTTTAAAAAGTGTGGCAATTCATGAGGTTTTTCTACAGGGCATTCGCATACCGAGGGGAGGGCGGCAAAAATCTTGGAAAGCATGCCAAAAATTTCTTCAGACGCCTTACTGACGCCAGCACCTTCACTAGAAAGAAATTTTGTTCCCCCCCCCCTCCCCCGCCCAACGGAAATCCTGGATACGCCACTGCCACAGGGTGTTCCAAAACTAAGTACACACTCTTTAAAGGCAGCGTACACCCAAAATTTCACCTTCGATGTTTTTGTAATTCTGGGGCCTTTCCGTGCCGCTGATTACAGTTATGTCATTGAAATCCTCCAAAAGTCCCAAAAAGCCTCGATTTTCGGGGACCCTCTCTTCAAAGGCGGACGAGTTTCGAACTGCTCGTCCCCGTCGGCATGCCAGCAGCTGCAACAGCATGACAGCCTGCAGTTGCAACTGCAACTGCTGCATATACTGTCGTGATTCGTCGCCCGAAGGAGGCGCACCGCAAAAAGCAACTGCACTGCAGTTGCAACAGCATTGCAACAGCAACTGCAACAGCAGTTGAAGCTTACGCTGTCGTGGATTCGTCCGGAGGAGGCAGAGTGAAAGAAAAGGGGCGGAGTGAAAGAAAATTGAGGGGGGTTTTCTCCGCTCAGAAGCAACATTGGGAGACCGGACCAACGCAGTTGGTCTTCTTCTGGGCCCAGTATATACACGGTATAGAAAGATTTAGGAAATTCGGTAACTTAGATTTTGGGTGTACCCTGCCTTTAAAGGCAGCGTACACCCAAAAGTTGAGTTACCCAGTTTTCTATACCGTGTATATACAGGGTCCAGAAGAAGACCAGCTGCGTTGGTCCGGTCTCCCAATGTTGCTTCTGAGCGGAGAAAACCCGACTGATTTTTCCTTCACTCCGCCCCTTTTCTTTCACTCCGCCTCCTTCGGACGAAATCCACCTCAGCGTAAGCTGCAATTGCAATTGCAGTTGCTGTTGCAACTGCTGTTGCATCTGCAACTGCAGTTGCAACAGTGCAGTTGCTTTTTGCGGTGCGCCTCTTTCGGGCGACGAACCACGACAGCATATGCAGCAGTTGCAGTTGCAACTGCAGGCTGTCATGCTGTTGCAGCTGCTGGCATGCCGACGGGGACGAGCAGTTCGAGACTCGTCCGCCCCTGAAGAGAGGATCCCTGGAAATCGGGGTTTTTTGAGACTTTTGGTGAATTTTAATGTCATAACTGTAATCAGGGAAAGGCCCCAGAATAACAAAAACATCGGAGGCGAAATTGTGGGTGTACGCTGCCTTTAATTGATAATAATTTGTGGTTTAGTGGTTTAGTGGTTGTAGTTTTAGTGATTGCGGATGACCGACGACTTTACGACTGATACAGTGCTTTTGAACGAGTATTATTCTGCATATTGGAAAAAAATTTAGCGATAAACATCCCATTAGATTTGTGATCAAGCTTAGCAGCTGAGTAGACGTTTAAGCTCTTAAAGCATTCTAATACTAGTGCATACCTTATTCAGAGCTGTTTGCATCCAAGTGAGCGTGTGATAGTAGTCTCTTTGATTATATGCTGCTCGTCCAACCTGAAAATCAAAATTCTCTGCTAGAACTTGGTCTATCTTCAGAAGAGATCTTTGTACAATTCCTTGCATTTATCACTGCAAAAAAATGCAGTGACTTGTCCTTTTTATCAAGGCCAAATGAGATTTCACTTTACAGCGCAGATGTCGCAGATGAAAAATGTACTTACATAGGCGAGATCTATCAAGGAGAATGTTCGATCTTAAAGAGTGCTCTTTCGCTTAGTCATTCCTATGTGAAAGACTAGGATAGGTCAATAAACTTCAGAAGAATTGGAGTTGTAGATTTTGAAATATTCAATGCTGCTTACTATGAGGGCACAAAGATGGCATAAACAGCCGATGATTGCAGAAAAGGAGATGCTATTGGATTCGAACCTCGTTTTGCAATCAAACCCCTTTTACTCTACTCACTACAGATTTGAAGATGAACGAGATGTGGGTTTCGGTCCTATCCACTTAGTGATTCAATATTAGGGAGAAACTTTGTGAATGTATAGCAATGTTGGACTAAGAAAGAGAGGAGAGGGAAGGAATGTCTTCTGGCTTATGATAGTGGTATGCACAAGATATGAAATCATGTAAGATCCAAACTTATAAACTCTATTGATATAAATAGGTTACCAAAATTTCGTTGAATGCAACTCTCGACTTTTTTTCAGCTTCAGAGCCAAGCTTAGAAAATTTGGGAAGGTTTCCCAAATGTCCTGAGCTCTGCCCTCCATTTAAAAAGTTTGAGTTCTTTTCTTTTCAATTTATTATTCTCATTCTTAGTTCCTTTTTACGAAAGCAATGACAGGATCTTTTCCCCGATAAGAAAACCCTGGAACCAACATCGAATAGCGGTTGTATTAAGATGTCAGAAATAATCATGCTGTGTTCAATATGAAGTTTGAACTATAATAGTAAGAAGTTTTGAGTAATCTAAAAGTCGGATCTCAAATCCCAAAGGATCCAGTGAATCTCCTAATTAGTCATACGCATAGTAGGCACACAGTTATTGATATGTACACGTGAGTAATGTTTTCGTGGATAAGAGTTATGAAAAAAAGAGGAAAATTGATAAAAGACAGACTTCGCTCTAGTAGATCCGGATCCCTCCCATTTATGCGGTTGTATACGAAAAGCTTTCGGAAGTATAAGTATAAATTTGCACATTTGTAGTAGCACTAGTTTCCGAGAAATATCGGTTTTAACTTTAAAATCACAAAAAAACGCCATTATTCTTTGACTACTCAATATAAATACTCGTCAAAATTTTCTTAAAAAAAGTTTTTTTTATGAACTGACCTCAAAACAATCATGTGCAGTGAGAGAATGGGCGACCTTCTCGCCCATTATTATACCCTCAGCAAGGTCTGCACTCTCCAATTTATACACATCTTGAAGACGGAGAATGGCGATTGCAGCGCCAGACAAATCCTCTTCTTCAGGGAACTTCACCTAGAATTTTTTCTTCACATTTGGTGGAAAAAGCGCAAATCTCCACCGAAAATCAGCGCACGAGTACTGTAAATAGAAGTCACTCCAGTGAATGAACGTAATTATAACTAAGTCAACATAAAGAGAACAATTAGCAAAATTACCTGATTTCGTTCGCGATTTTCCGTGATGTTTTGAATGTATTTATCGGCCAAATTTTCGCGCATAATGTCTTCGACCTAGAAAACTCGTAAATAAGCAAAAGCAAAATGAGCAAAGTGCCTAAATCTTTTCGAACAATCTTCTATCACATGAATGGGTTTCTATCATGCTAACTTACTCTTTTCCATTCCGAAGTCAATCGTTTGATCAATAGGTATGCATTGATAGGATTTGATACGAAGTCTGGGCCAACATCAGCAGCATCCTTATTTCGTATAGAATATTCGTCAGCAAATCTGCAAAGTACGGATTTCTATCTTATTATCTGAAGCCTTCGAATCTTTACCCATTGATATGTTTTTCCCTTGTTTAACAGTCTTTTATTCATTTAAAACTCAAAGACAGAGTTAAAATTTGTGTTATCCCCGTTAAACTATGAACAGGGCTCGGCACGAGGTGGCTAGTTGAAAATGCAAAAAACGAAGTCCCCCTTGACTTTTGCAAATTTTTACGAAGTCCCCTTTGACCCTAGACCAGGGCTCGGCACGAGGTGGCGTCCCGAAATTGCAAAAAATGAAATCCCCTTTGACTTCAATAAAATTACGACATCCGCTACGAGATATTTGAAGAGAAAATACATGAAAAGGAACGGAACAAAGCAACAGCAAAAAAAACGAAAAAGAATCATTGAACACACGCGCTGATATTCATATTCTCCGGAATGGCGGCATGATGTATCCATCGTGCAGCAATACGCGCCTAGAGCAGCCTTTCCGCGGCCGTTCAAAATTTTCGAGGGGCTATAACTAAGCGGGGAGAAGGGGGTTTGAGGCGGTTTAGGAACCAGTTTGTAGGGTTTGGGATGTAGATAAAAAGTATGTAAAGAAAGTAGAAAAATTATGTGAGGGAGGAAAAATTTATGACTTTTTCTTTCCTAAGCCACCTCAGGTGGCTATCCAGGTGGCTTGAAAGCCACCTAACTCCGAAAAAAAGTTGAGCACGCCTTTAGTTCACATAATTTTTTCATAATTTTTCACACTTAGTCCTAACTCCCCATTGCCCATTTACACACCGATTTTGGTGTCATTTCATCTTCACTTCGCTGTAAGCAAACCTTTTGCTTATTTGCTAGCGGCATGCCGGAAGCGTGCCGGCCGCAGACCGAAAGACAACGTTATGCTCTACCGCAAAAACGATATCTTCTTTGCTTTATCCCCAAAAACGATATCCAGCTTGCTTGCCAAGCCACCTGTGCCATGCCCTGACTATGAATTTGGTGAATATAAGCCAAAACCTTTCTTATACGATATAGTGCTATTGATAATCATAATCGATAATCTATTAATAATCCAACATTTATTTATGTTTCATGATGCATCCAACGAATGTATAAGTTCAACAGGGTCGTCTTTATTACGATTATTAATAGATTATATTGATCTATTGATTATCAATAGTACTAATGAATAGGAAAAGTTTTGTCTCACATTCACTAAATCAAAATGATAGTTAAACGAGAATAACCAAATTTTTAGTTTTTGTCTTTGAGCCTTCAAACTCTCTTTCATGTCCTATCTTTCCACAATCCGATGCTGTTTGAAAAATGTGTACTCCAAATAAAATACATACAGAAAATCACACACCAAAAACTTCAGTTTTTATTCGACACATTCAAGAATCTGCAGAGCAAGCTCTAATCAGGATGCATCCAAATGGAATAATAATATGGCCACCAGCCTCAAAAAGTTGTTCAAAACCTGTTCAAAACCATTCGCAGCCTTCATATCTTCGAATGCATGCAATTGAAGCCTACGTCGATGTCAAGAGGGTTACGGTGTTTAGACAAAAATGTATATTGCATTTTGTGCCATTAGAAAGCTTTTTGCGAGCCTGCTATGGCAGGCAGTGCTTGTCTTGCCAGAAAACGTATGGGTAAGACAGGTGACGTAAAGAATATTTCTGTCAACAGTGATTTCATGATGAAGTTCTATAAGTTTCGTGAAGCAATAGCAACCTTTACCATCTCCAAAAAAACCCTTTCGAAAAGCTTGCATCCTTTTTCTATATTTTTTGCCAAACAATTTATTCACATTCAATCTTGGTTGTAAGTGAGAGTGCCAAATGAAAAACTTTGTCGCAAATTAGAAGGAGTGTACAGAAATTGGATGTCACAAGCATTACAATTCCGTTTCTTTTTCTCTAGATGGAGCTTTGTTATCAATTCCGGGTCTTCCGCAGAAGTGCTCAGTAAGACATGGGAAAACTTAGAGCCAAATTTTATCAAATGAAACGGTTCAAATCATAACTGACTTCCTTTTCTGTCGTGTGGCATCAATTGCTATTTTGTTCTTGCTAAACTTCGCTTTTTGGTTTGAAGTCAAAACAAGAAGACCAATACATGTTTCCGTCTTGCAATTAGCATTCCTATTTCATTTTTCTAGCAATTGAATTTAGGGAAAATGTACACATCTGCACGATTTTCCAAAACAAGGCGTAGTCTCGCGCGCAAATTTATGCAAGAAAACATGTTCTGCTACTTAGCATTTGTACATTCAAGTGACTAAAACAGTATCTTGTAAAATACAATTACTTATTCATAAATTGCACTCCATCTTTGCCGATACTGGAATAGAGATCACAAAGCTATGGCTTTGTACTAGCGTAGGAGTTGTTTACTTTTCCTAAGAATGTGCGAATGCTTAAAAGTGCAGATTTTTTGCCTCAGAAAGACCTTCAGAGTTGAGTTTTCGACTTTCACATTGGACAGCGCTATTATACAAGTAAACATCTTTTTTCTACGTATTAGTGATGATGATCAAATTGTGCTCTTACGGAGGAGCAACTATCTTACGGTCAGATGGCATCCAGAAAAAACTGCATAGAGAATGGTCAGGGAGATTTGTGCTGACTAATTAGATAGTGAGGTGAAGATAATTAGATCGAAGAACTTCATGGCGGATGGAATGGTGGAGCGGGGAGGGGAGTTTGGGGTAGGAGAGAGTTATAAAACCTTTCAAGTGGTAAATTAGTGTGGCTAAAATGATTCGCCCCTTTTGGGGCTCCTTCAGGTGCTGCAGAAAATTTTTGGGCCTAAAACTATTCAATTTCCCTAAATAAAGCACTTTGATGGGAATTGGGTAAAATCCGTTTGAGTAGAATTTATATTCCTGAGGAGAAAGGGCGCAAAAAGTGAGATACTCCAATTTTCTCATTGCATGTAAATGCGGAAAATCTGTTTTTTTGTCAAACAATTTCAAGATAACAGAACATATTTTATCGCTAAATAAAGAAAACTTGTATCTATCCTTATACACATCTGCTTATCTCTACATCCATCCCAGCCCGAATACGAAGCTTAGAAATTCAACGAAATGAGCTTTTGGAAATCTAGCCATAATGGGTCATAACTGCATTCTCATAGTAAAAGGTAATTTTGAGTTGACGGTATGGGATAGTAGAAGATTTGATTTACACTTCCTCAGAAAATGTTAGATAAAAACCAACAAGAAAAGCATGGGGATTCGAAAAACAGAATTATTTTTACGACATAGTATTACTTATGAATGACCAGGATTTTCAATTAAATAGTTCAAATTCACCTTGTAAGAGAATTTTTCAAGGACGTAAATAAGAGGTCGGGCATACTTCACGCGATTTCAGTAGCGACGCGATTTGGCAGTATCCCAACTGTCCATAACTCATTGTAAGCACGTTTTAGATGCACGGAAATAGGGCATTCTATCACTCCACGTAAGTTATACACACTATGCGCAGTTTGCTAGTGTTGAATCTGAAGAGTTCTGGCGAAGTGCCAAATCGCGTCGCAACTGAAGTATGTCCTGCCCTTAAGTGAACACTCTTCTGTCACAAATAAACATTTGAGTTGATGATTAGCTCCAACTCAATAAATTTCGAGTTACGCCTTGCTTTGCAGTAAGTCTTAAAAGTGTGTAAAGTCCTATGCGATTAGAGCAAAAAAATAATCGAAAGTTCAAGTCGTTCAGTATTGCCCCGAAAAATCTGGTCTTGGTTGATCCACGTTAATCACCTCTCTGGCAAAATAAACGACTGCCTGCGGCCTACGCGCTTAGACCAACCGTTCTCGGCTATAATTTATTACCTTGCTCTGTCGGACAGCCATCCACAACAGCGCTGTTCTCCCACGTTTTTATCACAGTACTATCAGTCATCATTACGGGCCATGCATCAGCGGAGGAAGAAATGCCAGGAAACGCGGAAAACCCACTTTTTGAGTTCGTCTAGTCGATGTTGTTCTTCTTGGATGTAGCTCTCAATGATATTGCTGATCCCTTTTTCGCTAGCGAGCATCCGTTGCATGTCGGCTATGGCAGTGAATATATCGGCTGTACAGCTGCCAAACAACAGCAATAACAGTCCGAAGCCCAACATCTGAAAAGTACTGTTTTGACTGAACAGAAAAGTATACAAGGATAGAACAAAAGCGAAGGAGCTGCACTTCAAACTTTTCAAAATTTTTGGGTGCAAAACTATGACGTGTGATTCGTCATTCGTTGAGTTTACAATGACTAGTACAGGTGTGAAAAACTTGATGAAGACCTAGCACGAGACTGGCGACGAGACCACCTTGCTAGTACGAAAGCCTGTTCGGATCCTCTCGGACTATGGGGGAGGAGGTGCAATAGGCCGGGTTATAATAATGGTAGTATCATCGTTTAAATAACTGATCTGTGATGACAAGCCATGAAAGACATTTATGTAACATGTCAAGCTCATTTTAGATTTTTTGATGAAGAAATGTATGATTTTAACCTGAGAATAACTTCATCCTCGGTAGTTTAACAAGTCATTAATTTATATCGATAATATATCATAAAAATCAAATGTTTACCGAGCAAAACAATGTCAATCCTTTGCGAGCAATCAAAGCTTATCACACTATAAAAAAGGCATTGACCTGCAACCTTACATTTTTCCTAAAGGACAATAACACTTATTCTAAAATGAGCTCAATATAAATTACATACCAAACCAGAAACCAGTAACCAGCAATTAGTAACCCGAAATGAGCATCCTGTTTCTCAATAAACTATATAAGACTCAAAGTTATGAATTCTTCAAGTTCTTGAGCAAATGAAGCAATGAAATTAAATTTACAAGAAGTGAACTGGTCATTCAAGTTTCTTTAGAACAAGTTCAGTAATGAGAAAAAAATTATTTAATTTCATCGTGACTAGTTATAATACATTCTCGCATCCTTTCTTTTCTCTTTTCTGCTGAATTCAAGCAGCAAGCAGATATGTTACACTAAATAAAGAGACAAAATTACATGGTTCCATAAGAAAAAGCAAAGTGATTCTTTCAACTCATGGTTCTACCATGGTCCTTCGAATTTTGCCAGGAAAGTTGAATGTAGAATATGGATAGAGTACAAGGTATAATATTGTTCCACATCTATGCTGAAGCAATTTAACGAATGATGCACAATTTTATAACTTGAGCAGTCTCCAAAGAAAGACTCGATTATTTTCCGTTCTTGTCCCCCCCCCCCCTCCCCATATCTAAAGTATGCTAGTAATAAGAGATGACATATTCTGTTACTTAAAATTGCATAAAGTGTTCTTTGTTGGCAATACAATTAGTTTCATGAGACATAGACCACAAAAGTTCAAAGAACGAATTTGCTAGAAGACTCACCAAGCCAAAAATTGAAAACCTGTTCCTGAAATCACACGACGAGACGTTTTTGCAAGAAATACTTTCAAGTTACCAGTTCGTTTCGCAAAAACAAACTGAAAAGCGAGTAAAGGACGTTATCGTGCACTACGTGGCAGATCGATCTCGGCTTAGGTCAAGGATGTCTTCCACACTTATCAGCTCATTATGTGAACTTGCGGGAACGTACGACGATGTAGGTGGAAAGAAACTCGTGCAGAGCGTGTGAAACAGATGTAGGCTAATGTATGCACACATAAAGAAAAGATTCTCATTGTTAGGGGAATAAAAACCACGGTGCTTGCATATGACCTGACTATTGTTGTCTACCGTAACACCGTGGGCTACAGAAATAATAAAAAGAAGACTTTCGGGAAAATAACAAAGTGGTCATAGATTAGTTTGAAAAATGCATAGTGATATACTAAACGTCGTCTTTCTTTTCATGTCAGAAAATTACAAAGCTTTTGATTAAGCAAGCCTCATTCTATATGATTATCATTTATGTTTTGATGCAATGTTTTGGATAGACGCGTGAAGGAGATAAGAAGCATAAAAAATCAACATAAAGCATAAGCGAAAATAATCGAGATCCTTAATAACTTTTAGTTTCGGCAAAATTCGATTGATTCCGTACACTTCATAGCTGTCACTTTCAAATACAATACAATTCAAATGCAATCTAAATTTCGATTTGACTGCTTCCAAAATGAGTCAAGTATATACAAAGAATCAAATCTTAGTAAGGTATGAAAATGCACACTAATCAACGCTTTGAATCATTCTCAGAAATCTAAAGATTTCAGCAACCTTATGAATTCTCCAATGCTTAACGCAGAATACGAAAAAAACAGTACTTGAAAGGGACTAAGTAAACATTTTTGACGAGAATAGCGTGGTTGTGTTTGAATTCAGCAAAAGGAGTATGAAAGGAATGTGAGATATCGTTGAAGGACTACCTAATCATATATGGGATTATCTTAGGCATTCATGCGGAAGCCGTCTGTGCACCATACATAATTTTCATTCAAAACATGACGAGGATTCGAAGAAGCTGCCTCAGCCCAGGTCTAGATCATAACACGCTTACCCACAGATTTTCTGGTCCATAAGTTACCAGAATTTTTGACAACTCTCAATCTCCATCGGCTTGATCACTTATGCGAAAAAAAGGTCATGTGCTTCTTAGTAATCATAAACAAGAAATCAGCATTTTCATAGCTTGAACACATAAATTGATAAAGAAAAAAATAAACAGCATAATTTTGAAATTTTTGCTAAGCCCCTCCCCAAAATGTCGGAGGTCTACAAGAGTTGATTTCGGGTTTGGCATCGTTTTCAAGACCTATGATCGTATTTTTCTGCTTTCGAATATATATGATATATATGATAAATGCAACACATATTTAACAGAAAAACATGATAAAAGTACATGTTTATATAACATTTTCAAATTTGTCTGAATAATTGGTGCAAGATTATAGACCTAAAAGTTTAGGAGTGCATGTGGCTCTACAGAATCGACTTCTGCTGTCAGACTATTATGCACTCAAATGTCACATTTTGGGCACAAGTTCGAGGACAGAGAAGTTTTTTTTACAATGCGACAATGCGCGCAGTGATGGCGCGTAATTGTGGGCGAAGGAGGAGTTCACGCTTCGACACACGGATGTCAAAATAATGGGATTTGTTTGACAATGTGACAGGTTTCAAGGTGCGGAAGCACTAATCCGAAGATATGCTCAGTGGAAGAAAAGGCAATGAGGTTAGATGGGGGAGGGATACCTTATTAGTTAGAAGTATAATTATGGGGGTGGAAAATAACAGATTGGAGAGTTTTGCTTGTGGAAATATGCAGTATACATGTTGAAGATTAAACATCGGCTGGAACAACAATTGCATAATCATTACAATATCTAAATCTGTAAGTTTTCACAATACCATGCCTACACTCAGCAGGTGCTCATACTGGAAGAATGTATAAAAATTGATAATTATTGAATGCAAAAGGCTAAATATTGGATAAATGAATTTGAAAGCTCAGGAACACGCATTTGGATCATTACGCAAAAATGTCGAGTTTACAAATAACCAAATACTAATGATCAAGATGAAGGAAAGATTTTCTCTTCAAGAAAAAACAAACAAAAAAGTAGCTATAATGAAACAAATGAGAAGTTAGAATATGATTGCCAAAGGGATACAAGAATTTTTATATTTTTTTTGTATTTTATGTATGCTATATGCTATATTTTCTTTATTTCCCTTCCTTTTAGATAAAATCTTGTAAGTCACAAATCTATTGTGTTATCTAAGCAAACAGAAAAATGTCTTCAAAAGAATTCTGAGAATTATTTATAGTTAACAAGAGCGCTGAATCTGGAACGCTGTGGAAATGACTGCTAATTATTTTCTTCGCTTCTATTCCTTCTCTTTGCAGCAGAAAATGAACATATGCTGAAGAAAACTTTTTTGTTGATAGCGAAATAATAAGAAAATATTTGGAGCAATGTCAAAATCTCAACACTCTGCACTTCACGATTACACACACATCAACGAATGGGAAGCGGACCACATGTAATGGATATGACTATGAAATTCACACTGGCAACTGCGCACATGGCGCTGAACGGGGATCGCACAGGGGGGGGGGGAGGGGCAGTCGTCGCCAGAGACCTTAAGAATGGGCGAATGAGGCCCTCGCGAACTCGGACCGAGGACAGAGATGAAAAGAAACGCGGCAAAGCGAAGCGAGGCTACGTGCCGACGATGACGGAGCAATGTGTGTGCGACCTTAAAAATCGGATTCTTCCTGTGAATAAGGACAGAAAAAGTGCAAGAGTACAGTGCGCTGGAAGGGGGCCAGGAGAGGGAAAAGGCTAGGGAGATATTTATTTATTCTATTGTTAGATATAGCAGCACGTGTGCAAAGACGAACAACGAAAGGTACACAAAATAAACAGATAACAGTCAGAAACAATCTCGACAAGAAATATAACCAACCTGAGATACACAGAATCAAGGGCAGTTTTTGGCCTGTAAGCAACTCTGTGATCTTGAAGGACTCACATGCTAATAAAACATGTACCCATTATGCCCAAAAATCTCACGACTCGAAGATGTGTCCCTCATAATTGTCAATGATATTCATATAATATCTTCCCATTTCAAGAGACCTAGATGTAAAACCATGTTTTGTAAAATAATAATGTTCAATCAAGAACCATCGAAAATTCGAGAAATGATTGACTCAAATAGTACTAAAAGATAAAACGATTTTCGACCAATCTTCACCACATGAGATGTACCTCCGAGGAGAGTAGAAATATTCAAAAAATAGATAATCTTCAAACCTTTTCACAAATATATTGGCTCCCCATGTACTGAAAAGTCCCGGAAAGGGGTTAATAATTAGAGTCCGTCTATAGGAAGGTAAGAAACGGAATTCTAAAAAAATCAGAGTTCTATATCAACAGCCAACATCGTGAGATGCATATTAGCTGAAAAGGACAGGAGGTGGTTAATGAGTCGAATTTTCTAAGCAAGATCTGGGCTAGTTTCCGCATTGGGCGACTTCAATGAGTGATGGATGACCGAGTATATTTATGGTATTGACTTGAGGTAAAATAATATAATGTGCAGGTAAACAGATACGATTATTCAGCGATCTGCACTTGCGGAGCAACTCGGACGGTGTAGCCAATGCCAGCTGGGAAGCGCTGCTGCCTGCATATGGTAGATTACTCCTTCCCACTCCAAACAAGGGGAATTTCTTCCAGTAATGGATTAACCAGCTTAACCAAGCACGATTGGCCAGTCCACTAAGACTAAGAAGGCCAAAGTGACTTCCTCCCACTTATATGTCGTATCGAATAGTCAGCGCCAGCACCGAGGGCGAGTCCTGTCGGCGCTCTGGTTCGTCGGAATCCAGTCCAAGGCGTGCAAAATCGACTTTTCACGAACGAAGAACTTGCAGACTTGTGCATATAACAGGGTTCGCCGTCGACATGGACGAAATAGTGTGTGGTGCGGCTAGGAAAAACCACTCCTTTAGCGCATAGTATGCGATATGGGCTGTGAATGAACGTGCGTGGCTGAGGCGATAGGGCCTCGTCGCGCGCGGAGGGCTGAGAAAATCGCGCTGGCTAAGGAATATACATACACTAGCTGGGTGGAGGAGTAGTACAGTCGCAGGTGAGGAGTATGTCATCGAAACTTTTACTTTTTGAAAATCATGCTTACCAATCGAGCAGATCCCTCTGAAATAGTAGAGATGAAAAAATAATCCAGAATCTGTAAATTAAATCGTAACAAGTAACATAAGTCTTGTTAATTTCTTATCCGCTGAAATATCCAAAAAATTTCGGCAAATCCTCAAATTTGGGATAATAAAGGATAGATCGTCTATTACCATCTTTTAATTCCATGACTTTCAATAATATGAGGGCAATTCTGCAAAGCAATTTGTCTTCCATAGTTCCTACCATTGAAAAAAATTCTCGCATTGTTCTTCTTACACTTTTAGTCAAGAAATCCTAACAGTAAGTGCTAATACGGAAGCATCATGAAGATTCATTTTTAGTGAGCTACCAAATTTGCCATAAAATGCAGAAGATTTTTGAAAGAAAAGCTGCAACCTCTCACGAACATTTAACATTGGGATTATTCTATGGAAGTTATGAACTTCTTTCGCAAGCGAAAAAAAGTATGTTCCGGTCTAACAACATAATTATAGCAGAGTATCTACTTTTGGGTGAGAAACTTTTTTTTTTGATGATAGACAAAAGTGAACTGGCACCAAATGTTAGGCAAGCAGAATATAATCGCTTAGAAATCTATAATTCGTTACATCTTATTATCTACATAGAGTACGTGAACTGCCAAATTTGATGAGTACTTCAAACCAAATTATAGTACATGATTTCTCAATTATCCTTGCTGTACTAGATGTTTGCAGAAAATGAAATAGAAAAGGCATCTCATATGGTCGATGCAAAGGTTATCTGGTTCAAGCGGCGTCCAGCTGTTTCCATGATGTAAAGTTCAGATGGTAATGATCCTCTGTGATTGAGAATACTTTACCACTCAAGCTAGGCGAAAGAAAGGAATCTCTGCACAATCTCAAGTCGAACAATTTTCCAATTTTACTTACTGGCGCTCACGTGTGCGGCGCTGGTACTGTTATGACTAATTGCTGATCTTTTGTGAGATCTGCATCGCATTCTCTAAAAATTACGAATTTCGTGGCAGCGAGTTTTCACAGTTCCACAACAACAAAAAAACTGCATCTTTGCAAATGAGCATGTTCCATAGCTCCTTCTTCGAATGGCATAAGACCCCATCTGTAGAAACATGAAGGCATTCAAGTGAAACGCCCTGCGCAGGAATATAAAGACTGCATATTTAACGTTGCGATCTTTCACTTCTATGAATTTTCTGGAATTCGCTCTCTTGTCTTGGAACATCGCCCACCCACTTCCGAGACAGTGTTTATTTCCTGCAGGTTCTTGCATTCCTCCGAACCTGTTGTGACAATGGAGGCAACATGGAATCTTATTGATCACACTGAATATAAAGGAAATGTCTCAAGAGCTTTTAAATTATCTAAAAGCACGGCACTGAGGTATCCTCAAAAACCGGCGAATAATTAGCTGCAGGACTTGGCACGAGCTGGAACCAGGGAATTCAAAACGATGTCTCCTTGAAAATTCCGTACGAAATCCCCTTTGACCCTAACCCCTGAACGTAAAAGACCGTCATAAAACGAAACTTCGATTTAAAAAACGTAACCTAATTGTGTCTTTTAGGCTACAAAGATATCTTTTTTGCTTTTTGTCCCAAAAACGATATCCAGCTTGACGCGGTGCTAGCTGTGTCGAGCCCTGATTAGCTAGATTGCATCCAGACTAGCGAGACTACAAATGTGAATCTTCGCCCGTCCAGTCTTCAGTAAATTATTTATTTCACCAGTGAACACTCATTGATATTTAACAGGAAATAAACTTTTCGAAAAACTTGATTTTGATTACAAAGTAAAACAGTATGTTAATGCGCTTCAAATCCACTTTAGATTATTCTCAGTTCTGCGCATCTATTATGATAAGTTTCAAAGGGAAGATACAAAAAATTGGTGCGACAAGTAGCTATCCTCAAATAATTTCTTAGATTTAACATCTTCGCATGGCGATTTTCTCAAATGGAGGCATTCCCGGGCAAAGAGTAAGGGTTTTCCGTTTTTGATTTGAAACTTTCGTTTATGTCATGCTGAATGTAGAAACAGCAAGATGCACTCAGATTGTCTGCTTGGCAGCCCTACCTACTCATTTGGATTCATAGGATATTTCAAATAATTTTACCTTACAATGGGGACATAGCATGCGTCACCCCGCCCCTTCAAAGCAAGCTTTGCAGATGCGTTGCAGCATGTGTTCTAATGACCAAAGAACTGCTTACTAACTCTATCATGTTTGATGATAAAAACAGATTGAGAGAAGATAAGGGGAGGGGATGGGGGCTGAGCTGGTAGCAAAGTCTCAACGGAGGCGTTCTATTAAATGACTCGTGATCCATCTTCAGCGAAAAGTGCACGCTCTCTTCTGCAAATGCTGATGTTCAAATTAATAATCCCATCAATAATCGGAAGACCATAGAAATAATGCTAAAAATATTAAATTTTACGGACAGGAAATTTCGAATCGTCAGAAAACTTATATGGGAGCACCTGCTTATGTGCCCCAGAAGCGCAGCACAAAGCTGAGTTCCCGGATGGATATTGACAAGCCAGCTCATCCCACATTAAACATTTCCTTCCGATGCACTTCTGTTTATATACACAAATTTCACGAATAGGTCGTAACCACCCACCGCGGCACGCGATTGTCGTCTTTACAACTTTCTGTCACCAAGTGACTGATGCGATTACGAACATAATGAACTATGCGATTTGCATCAATGGGAAGGAGTGGAGGAGACTGGGGAGGTAGGAATAGAGGATAATTTATGGTAGTTGCTTTTCTCAATAATAGATCTATTATTCAACTCCTATGATTTCTTGAGATCAATTTGGTGACAATGACCACTCCTTTGCTCGTTATATTGCTACGCAGTTTGGAGATCAAAACGATGCATTTGATTTTACTAAATTTGAGCCCGGCTGTTCTTGCTTTTTTGTTCCTTTGATTTCTATTTGTTGCGCACTGGAGTGTATCAAATAACTGAATACAAGTACATGAGGTGCCGACAATATACAATATTTGCGCGTAGTGGTCGCCGCGAAAATACCAAGTTTTGCTCCGACGCACAGACCTCGTTAACAAGGCATAAACCTTACAACTAATGCAGTTACAGTTAATCGTTTTACACGTCCAGTAGAATGAATTTTTAGATCCAAATGAAACTGTCGACATACTGCCAGCTGAACTTAGAAAATGGAGCTGCCTCGGGTTATTTTCTGTTCCGTTCTGACCGCCCTTATGCAATGATAGACAGGTTTGAAAAAGAAAAAAAACGTTTACTTATTTTGTGCATAAGTCATAATTATAAAAAATTGCTAATTTGTACAAAAAGTGAAGAGTCCAAGAACTGGTTGATTTTCGAGTAAAAATAAGTGCTATAACGCATAAGGATGCCTTCATACGGCGCCGCCGCCGCTGGCCGCTTTTGAGCACTATTTCATTATCCGGATCCCAATGTCGGAAGCACAAATCTTGCTCAAACTTGGTTTAGTGTGGATACTCGCATATTTATTAAAGATAGCACAATCTTTTAACTTTTTGAAAAGGTCTTGGTTTACTGGGATAGTGGGCAAAAGCGGCTACAGGCAGGTAGCGGCGGCTGCCGGCGCGGTATGAAAGCACCCTGACCAAATGAGAAATCATTCTGATGTGGACTGCTGCGAGATATATTGGTGCCTTTTTTGGAGAATATCAAGGCAAATAGTTCGTATTAGGAAGAATCAACTTCGGTCATTAAAACATTCGTAGAATCACGTAAGATAGTTTACTTTGGAAGTTCTGAAAGTGCAGCGGCTGCTAATATAAATTGCGAAACGCGATGGAGTCCTGTGCGGTCTGGCGGAGAGAGATCTACGCAATGTAATCTGATATGTGGTCTGCAAGGGCTGGATCAAAACAGCATTGATAAACAGCTGTTCTCGTTTAGTACAGA